TGACAGCTAATCTTATGTATCTTTAAAAAAATCATTTATGCTTTATACAACCAAGATATGTGTAACTATGTTTTTGTTCCCTCCGCTCATAAATAATCAAGAGCATATTAACAAAATGCAAATTCAAAAAATGCAAAAATTATGCCAAAAAAAGTGAAGAAAAGTAAAAAAAATAGATCAATTACTGATTCTTAAAATACCAACACACATACAAATTTTTATTTAAATTCTGGACTGATGCTTATGGATTTTCGACTTATGCTTATGGATTTTGATCTTAATCATTTATATATATTTAATGTATACATATGTATAGTAAAAGTTATTTCGTCAAACTGCGGTTAGCTTGAGTCCATAATCCGCTCTCCCATTTTGGTAGACTGGTGAATGCTTTGCTTATAGATCGGTCTTAAGCCAAATTCTTTAAGTTAACTTTAAGTGCTAAAACTCACATTAAATTCTTTGAATTAGACCTATTAAATTTTTATATTTTTTCCGAAGGAATCTAATGGAGATGAAGATATCTATTTTTTTCGGTGTTAGATCTTTTGTGGCCCCACTCACCAAGCCAAGATGCTGTGGATGACCCCATAAAACACTATAAGCCGATATGAAATACACATTGTAAGACGTATCGAATATCCAAACGCATTGTGCTGGGTTTAACCTTCTTATTGTCTTAGCCACTCACCACCGCACTAGGTTTTCTATTTTGGCTATTGCGCTTTGGGTTTTGGGCTTTGGGTTTTGGGTTTCGGCTCGTTTGGTTTGCAACGAGCCGAAGTCAATAGCCGCGTGGATTTGCATAACCCCAGCCTCTCGAATCTTGTAAATACTATATATCATATGTCCAACGAAAACGGAAGCCTCGATATATTTTTTGACCAATATACCAAACAATGTGAGGAGCCACACGTCAAAGATACCGCCGATTTGTATGTAGGTCTGTGTATCACACAGATTTCCACTTCCTAGCTATTGTCTGTAGGATAACGACCCGGTTACTCTGTTGTATAGTAATATCTCGAGTGCAGGAGTCATGCCATCCATTGATCCCCCCCCTTTCATGGAAACCGAAAACCGAAACAAGTTTTCATATAACACCGTTCCCCCGACTGACTTTTCATTACTAAGCCAAAATCCACCACCACAACAACAACAGCAGCAAAAGAGTTGCGAATGCGCCGCCGCGAGTTGCGAGATATAGAAAGACAATCCAAGACAAGACAGTCCAATTTTTCGGTGTATATAAGCTGAGTGCAGTGGCTCAGCGATTCAGTCCCAGTTTGGATCTCGTTACCCGTGCAGCACAGCGAATTGTGGAGTAATTGTTCCCCGTGAGACGTCGAATCCAGCAGCTCAACAATGCGAATGGTAAAGCCATCGATCCAGTCGATCCAGCAAGGATTTAGCCGAAGAAGTGTTCATGTTCAGAGTGATCAGAGTGTGAATCCATCCATCCATTACAGTTCGTACTTCCTTGTCTCGCCGTGTGCGTGGCATTGGCCCATTGTGGCACTGTGCCAGTTGAGGAGAAGAAGGCCGATGGCGATGATGGCAAGACCGTGGAGAAGAGGGGCCTCCATCTGGGCGACTACCACCACTATCAGCCGCACCACGAGCACCACCACGAGCACATCAAGACGGTGACCATCGAGAAGAAGGTCCCAGTGCACTACACTGTCACCAAGCACGTGCCCTACACCGTCGAAAAGAAGGTGAGTCCTTAACTGTGAAAATCTGACTACTAATGGTTAGTTTTTCCAATCTGTAAATGGAACAAGCCGACCGACTAAATTGAAAAGGATTAAAAAAAAAAACAATGAGTCCTTTTTTATTTTCTAACAAATTTTACATTTAATTTAAACCTTTTAAGTCCACGTAGAGTTCAGAAACTTCCAGACCTTATAATTTGTATGCCAAATAAAAATTGTTTAGGTTCAAAATAATCTTCAGGTCTTTAAAAACAGTCAATGAGATTTCAATGAATCATGAACCCATTTTTACAATCAATTCCCAATACAGGGTAAAACATTGTAATTTCAAATAGGAAATCGTTAAAGATACAAAAATTAGAAAAGTGGTTTTTCCCAAAAAAAAAAAATTAAACATGTTGAAGGATCCTGAACAACATTTTGAAGTATCCTGAATATTGAATTGTATTCTTCCGATTACATTCAACCGAGAAAGATCTTGAGACTATTAACAACACTGTAAAAACCAAATAACCTATTCCATTGGACACACAACAAATAACCCACTAAAAATAATATTCCAAAACAGATTCCCTACGAGGTGAAAGTGGATGTGCCCCAGCCTTACATCGTGGAGAAGAAGGTGCCTGTCCATGTGAAGGAGTACGTGAAAGTGCCCGTCCATGTGCCCAAACCCTATGAGGTGATCAAGAAGATCCCCTATGAGGTTAAGATCCCGGTAGACAAGCCCTACGAGGTTAAGGTCCCTGTGCCCCAGCCCTATGAGGTGATCAAGAAGATCCCCTATGAGGTCAAGGTGCCAGTGCCACAGCCCTACGAAGTGATCAAGAAGGTTCCCCACGAGGTCAAGGTTGAGGTCCCAGTGCCCAAGCCCTACGAGGTGATCAAGAAGGTGCCCTACGAGGTCAAGTACGAGGTGGAGAAGCCATACGACGTGGAGGTGCCCAAACCCTACGATGTCGAGGTCGAGAAGCCCTACACCGTGGTCGTGGAGAAGAAGGTGCCCTATGAAGTTAAGGTTCCCGTCGACAAGCCCTACAAGGTTGAGGTGAGTGAACATCATATTAAAATTTCAATAAAAAATGGAGTTAAAAAGGAGTTTCCATAATTATAACTCTGGTAAAGACAACTTGTATCTTTTCCAAACAAAATTTAAACAAGTTCCAAAGCTTTGAGTTAAAACCCGTTATATCTATTTCCCTTACATCTATTAATTATAATTAGCTATGTTTGATGGCACTTGATTTGCTACACTTTCTTTGAAAACATACTAACCCAATATTATCTCACCATTTCTTTCTCAGGTGGAGAAACCCTACCCAGTCCATGTGAAGGTTCCTGTGCCTCAGCCTTACACCGTGGAGAAGAAGGTTCCCTACACCGTCGAGAAGCCAGTGCCGTATGAGGTGAAGGTGCCCATCGAGAAGCCCATTCCCGTCTACTCGGAGGTGAAGGTGCCCATCCACAAGGAGATTCCCGTGCCGGAGAAGTATCATGTGGAGGTGCCGATCTTCAAGCATCACGAGCACCATCACGAGGATCACCATGACTACCATAGCCACAGCCACCATGGGCACTACTAAGGGATTCCAGATTTGCAGATTCCCAAAGCCAGTCGCACAGAAAGCGAGCACAAGAAGAAGAAGGAAGTTGACGAAGGACGAACAGGGAGGAATACGAGGAGCAGCAGGCTAGACACTGTCATCGAGTCTGTATCTGTATCTCTCAGATGCATCTATCACGCAGCAACGTTGAGCTGGACGTTGAACGGGTGACACGAGCGGGAGGAAATGAAGTAGTAACTTCTAATGCTGAAGAATTCGCGTAATTCTTCAGTCAACAGAAGGAGGAGAAGATGAAGATAAAGAGGAGCCAGAGCAGAAGAGGGAGAGCCAGCGGGGAGTAGCAGTCAGAGGACAAACTAACTAGCTACTCCCAATTGAGATCTGAAATCTGGCGGAGACCAACGAAAAAATGGTTTCCGCATCAGTTTTAAGCCAAATGTGTTAGTACTTTTATCATTGTGTTAGACCCTACGATTTCTATTTAAATTATGAGCTAAAGAAACACTGAACACAACCAGGTGCAAATTAATGGGTATAATCGGGTGGGGGAAGTGAAAGTGAAAATTGACCAGCGAGCCATGGCCAAAAACCCCCCTGAAAAACGCAACACGTAACTAGCTGGCGGCGGAAAATGAAAATGAAAGAAAACCAGTTACCACTAACTCACTCTATCTCTATCCAATGCGAAGTGTGTGTGTATTCTGGCGGCCAGTTCATTATGCAAGGAGCGATCCGTTGCGTCATCGGACTGCCAAATTAATTGCAGGAAGCACTAGCCAACACTCGTTGAAACTTGGCAACATTTTCGCAATTATGGCGGGCTGTCATAATGGCAAAAAGATTAAGAGGGGGGAAAACAAATGCATGATTGCCAACAAATTGATGGCTATACACGGGGAGAATAAGTTATTCAATATATACATTTCATGTTTATTTGACGTGATATAAATATGATGAACATTTTGTTTATATCCTGAATTTACCATTGTTATTTGTATACCATTTTGTTTTAAAGTATCTTGACTAATACTTTTTGGTATTTATTTGTATACATTTGTATAGATTTGCTCTAGATTTCGCATTCGTTTAAAAAAATGTACACAGTAAGAAAACAAAGTTCGATATATTAATTTTATGTCTGTTCAATCAACCTAAATACAAACTATCCAATCGTGTCTTGTTTACATCCAGAAACATACTTTGGTTTTAATTTATGCTCAGAATCATTTTCCTTTAGTGTTTGTATCAGATTTAATTTGAAAATATTTTATTTATCACGTTTTTATCTACCTAGATAACGATTTTTTTATAGATTTTGATTTGCAATATTTTTGAAAGTTATGCATTTCAGAAATATTTCTCATTTATCTCTAGTTTGTGCGCAATTTTTGAAAGTGTACATTTATCAGCTCTATTTGCAATTGATTCGTGATTGTAATAGCCACGAAAGACGGTTGAAAACATAAAAACACGGCACTTCAAGTGCGCAATGCCCTCATTTTCGGGGGCAGTAAACGTAGCGCATAGCCAAATTGCTCGGAATTTCGAAATATCAGTCACCGCTAAATTACCCATCAAAGTATCCACTAATTGCAGTTTGATGGTGTAAGCTTTGGCGCTCTCGACATTTTGAAATTTGGCGCTTACCATAACCGTTACTGTTAGCCAGCACTATTATCTCTGCCAACGATCTGGCAACCAATTCTCAGAATTGTTTTCGGTAACGCTAAAGTGGCCGCGATTGCATTCGGTGAAAAAATCTAATTTAAGCCCGCTTAAATGGCGCTGACAATTACGAAATTTCGAAATTCGAGCGGTCAAGTGGTGTCCGCACCGCCCGCCATGATTTTCCGCTCGAAAACATCGGATCCCCCGCAGATAACAAAGGTAAATAAAATGTATGCAAAAAATACGAACTCCTATTTTTTGTTGTCATCCGGCGTTGCCAGATGGGCAAGAGGTGCACAAACAGCTGTTAAATAACATGTGCAGAGCAGAACAGCGAAATGTAAATCGCAATTGATAAAGTAATTTAATTTATTTACGCAGAAATCATTCGCGAAATTTGAACCGGGTAATGCCACAGTGAGGATAACTTCGGGTGGAATAGTACTCAACAAAATACCAGCTATAATAAGGCCCAGTATGAAAAGAGCAGCACCATCAACGTCATCGGGAGTCAGCACCGCGGGAGCAACAACAACAGCACCAGCTGGTACAGTGGGATGTGAGTAACAAGACGCGAATAAAAAATATACTTGAAATATCCAATCAGATCTAGGGGCATGTCTAGGTAACTAAATAAAGTATCAATAAAATAGCTTGCAATTAATGTAATTGATAATCAAAATATGTTACAATACAACCTACCAATGATTTACTATTTGTTTACGTACTTCCACAGAGTAAAATTTAAAAATGTGTACTGTATTTACTTTTAAATCATTTAAAATAACTTAAGAAAGTTACTATACATGTTTTTTTTAATTAAACCTTTGTAGTTGTCTTAGTTAACCTTAAAATAGATTTTTTTCGTTAAAAGCATAGTCGTTAATTTCTAATCGCATCAGTTTAGGCTATATCAAATTTAAAGTTTAATAATAACATTAATATTACATTTACTAAATTTGTTTTTATAAGATGGATATTATACATAAAAAATCATCTTGATAAACATATTCTTATCTGTAAGTTTGCGGTTGGTGAGATATAAAAAGCCTTCGTATCAAAAGTATTTCCGATTATAAATTGATTTCGAAATGTATTTATTAATATTTCTTCATTATTTTAGATACCCCATCTAAGACGCCCAGGTATGTGATCCAAGCCATGCCAAGCGGATCATCCGGCAACCAACTGCAGTTGCAAGCCAGGAAGGATTCGCATGGTCTGGGGGTGGCCATCAGTTCGCTGCCTCCCAACACAATCATCAAGGCGACCACAAGGCCAGCACAGGCTGCACCTTTGACGCCGGTCTCAGCTTTGGTTACTTCGTCACCAGCGACACCGACTAGTAGCCGAAATACCGCTCACTCCAACTCGACTCCAACTGTGGCACCTGATTCCAGAGTTTCCTCCGCCGTGCGTCAGGCTGTGTTCATCAAGAGGGACCTGCCCCAGCCGCAGAAAAGCACTAGGAGTCTTACTTTGGGTTTGGTGGAGCAAGCGCCACTCCTTCACCTGGGTGTGGCCCCAGAGCATTTGACGCTTCTAAAACGACATGTCTGCCGCAGTGCCAATGTCACGCATTTGGACTGCTGTATCACCTTGAGGAAACTCCGTCAGAACGAACCTTTTTCCCTGCTGGCAGAGCACTTTGAGCTAAGCGAATCGGATGCCGAGGACTCGTTTAAGCGCACGCTCATCAAGTTGGCCCGCTACCTGCGACCGCTGATCCGGTGGCCAGATGCCCGGCATCACAGCGAGCGACTCAAGCACACGCCACTGGACTACCGGGCCAATCTGCTGCATGTCCGCTCACTGATCGAGTGTGTGGAAACGGATGTGTCCGCGGATCTGGGATTGGGCAGCGACAGCTACAAGTTCATACTGTGCATCAATACGAATGGTAAGGTTTTGGCTTCGACAGCGATCTTTCATTGATTGTTTCTGGCTTCTTCCCCAGGCATTATCAGCTATGTATCGAGCGCCTTTCCCGGTAATTGTGATGATCTTCAGTTGTTCGATGCCAGCAGATTTCGAGATGTCATACCCAAGTACCTAACACTGTGCGCGGAACCGGGCAAAGCAGTGCCTCATGCCCGCAGAACGGGCTTGGAAGATCCCCAGGACTCGACGGATGAGGATGACTACCAGGCGGCTGCGACGGAGGAACCAAAGCGATCGCTAAGCAAATTCGAGGCGCAGCGTTTGGGCGGCCAGTTGGCTAATCAGCAATCCCTGACCGTTGTGGACGGAGCTCTGACCTCAAAGCGAGCTCCTTCCGTCCAACTGCCCACGTTCAAGGCCCAAGAACCCGCCTGCAGAGCCCAGATGCGGGATATGATCGATGTCCTCAGGGAATTCCGGATGCTCGGTCATTCCGCCATTCAGCAAAAGTCGTTGCTGGGATACCTCGATGAATCGATCGTTGTGGCAGCAGCTCTTTGTAATCTTAAGCGACAGGAGTTGCACTCTTAATCAATTAACAATTAACAATTTCTGAGTGAAGGAAAGGCCCGTTTTAGGGTCACACTTAGGTGTTTAATTTGCTAGTAATAAAACGAAGAATTTTGATAGTGTTGACGCAAAGTATTAATTTATAAATTTGTTCAACTTTTTCCAATAGAGGAATACCATAAAGCGTTTAATTCCTTTTTTAAATTACTATATTAATTACTGTGTTGGTTAAATTTTCATAAATTATTTATGTCTGTTTTCTTTGATTACTGAAAACCAATTTTCCTAAAACAATTCAAACAAAACTATGTACAAATATTTTAAAATATAATACATACATATGTAGTTTTTTATTTATCATCTAAAGCGACTCATTTTATTTTCACAGCCTCACTAGTTTCGCGATTAGCAAACTCTTATTTCCTTTTTGTTTGATCAGCTGCCCCATTGAAAAACACTTGCACTCCGCATTTCTTTTATCATTTTGCTTTATTTATTGTACAAAAATACAAGCAAAACTAAGTACATATTCAACGAAAGCTGTTCAATGAACCGAGGGCCAAGCATTGCCCATCGGAGTTTTTACCATATTTGAATTTTGAAGAATACATGTATGTCGTATGTATGGATATTCTTTCGCTCTTAGGGGCTAATAATTAAAAACTTGCTTAGTTAATAAGTGACTCTGCGTACTAATAGCTAAACATATTGTATATTATTGTGTGTGTGTGTGGTGTATGCCTGACAAAACCAGCTCCTCTAGCTCCTCATGCTGACATTATAACAAGTATTGGGTGATTGGGTGGGGGATTCAATCCATCCAATTCATATCAGAGCTTCTGGATGATGTCGAACTTCTTCTTGAGGTCCACGCTTTCGTTCTTCGGGTCGTACTTCTTCTTGGAGGCCAATTTGGCCCTCATTTCGGCCACTGTCAGGGGCAGATTCAAACTGCCCGCCCGATTGCCGCCCATGGCTGGGGGCGGCGTAATGGGCGTGGTCATGCCATTTGTGTTGCTATTCCCATTCCCATTTCCATTTCCATTGGTGTTGTAGACACTGCCATTGTTGTTGATTCCAGCTTTGGTGGCCGACGGCGGTGGGGGTGTGCTCATCATGGTGTTATTATTGATGGGCGACGAGGGTTTACTTCCATTTTGTACGGGCGGAGGAGGAGTGGACACCACTGGTGCTGGCGCCGGGATTCCCCTGTCCACCACATCCAAATCGGAGGCATTCACGGTGCTACCACTCTGAATGCTGCTGGCATTTGAGGATCGCTTGGTGCTGACCATACTGATGCTACTGATATTGGCACTGGCGCCGGGCATCTCCTGTTTGGTGCCCTCATAGCCATTTTGGCTTGCAGCACTTCCATTACCATTGCAGGCAGCTGCAGCCGAAGGAGATGTCGGGGTCTTCACCTCTATGGCCTTGCCATCCACATCGATGAGGAGCAGGCGTACCTCGTTGGCAATGGCCTTAATCCTGGCCACCACCTGCTTGTGGGTCTCACTGCCAATGGACACCCCATTGACCTCCAGGATGCGATCGCCCTCCTTCAGTCCAGCTGCCTCTGCCGGCGAATCGGCATCCACCTTGCCAATAAACTGACCCGGTTTCACCTTTTCCGAGTGAAGATTGAAGCCGTACCCATCGAAATCAGGGCGTTTTACTATATGACAGGTTTTAGTCACGCCCGGCGGCAAAGTGGGCGGGGTGGGCGTTTTTGGGGAAGTGGGCGTGGACATCTTGGCTCCTGGAAATACATTTTGTTACAAATACAAGGGGCAATTAGTTAATAAATAGGTTTAAAAAGTGTTTTATTATTGGCTTAGGAATATTGTTTTAAATAACTGGCAATTGGAAATCAATTTTGATTTAAACAAGTTATTGAATAGTCATAATTATAGTTTAAAGAAATTTTTTTTTGAGAACTGGGCGACGTACTGACTTGCCTCACTGTATAGGCGATAGCGAAATGAATTTTTTCTAAGCATTATATTTCTTTCAACATGTTTGCTGATACCCTCAAAAGGTCATATTTGTCATGGCGTATATAAGATAAAAGTATAAAACTGTTTGCTAAATAATAATATTTATATATGTATATCTTCTTAAGATGCTATATCTAAGCATAAAATTGAATGATCATTTTTAAAACATTATTTACTAAAAAACAATTCCATGCCATTTATTTAACAGGAAAAATACAAAAAATTACTAACAATAGAATATTAGTTCGGGAAAAAAAAAGATCTTTAAAAGTTTGCTTTTTTGCAGGGTAACAATCCATAGTATTAGGTGCTCCAATACGATTGTAAAAAACTCATTTACCCAAGAAAAATTTGCTGATAAAATTCAAGATTTCATAATGTTCTTCGGAAAGCGAGACATGAGTCTGGAATGGAAATGTCGCAATATCGTGTTTAGTTCGTCATTAAGTAGTGTTTTTGTATATTTAGGGGTGGGCAATCAACAAAGTCCAGATAGATAAACATATATATAGTATATATATTTTCATAGCAAACAACGACTACCGAATGATAAGGAAACTTCTCGTTCATTCAGCTTTTTGGCCACCTTATCGCGTACTCCCTTTATGACCGGCATTGACAATATGCTGACCCACATTACCTGACCCCAAAATTTCGACCCTGGTCAAGAGGTCCGCTCCAGACGTGTTTCTTGGGCTATATTTTCTGGCCAATTTGCCGATTGGCGATAGTTTCGATGGGCATATCTGGCAAGTACTTGCCATAAGTGTAATTGCTCGCCAAATAGCCTTTATGGCCCGTGCTTAAGTTTGGGTTTTGTTTTCGTCGCTGTTCCACTTTCGGCTTTTCGAAACTGCCAAAACGGGCAAACAGGAATTCCACATGCATGTGCTCATGGGTCAAAATTGGCTTAGTACGCCCCGCTTATCGCACCACCACCCACACACGACCATGAAAGGAACGTGATTTTCCAGAAAACTTGACAACAGGGTATTAGCAAAAATAATTTGTTAAACATATAGCCCCTATAATGCTACCAATAATCGTAAATAACTGCAGTTCAGAAATCCGTTTCAGGCTTCATGAATAAACTAATTGATCAAATACTCCATTTAAATTAATATTATATTAACTTAATTCAAATTTATTTTATAAAAGGTATAATAAAATGAGTTTTTCCCATACTCCACACACCGCACAGGGGTATTAGCTAAATAATTGATTAACTACAGCCCCTAAATTGTTAACAAAAAACGTAAATGACAGTAGTTCGTAAATGCGAAAGGAAAATATTGAGAATAAAAATAAATGAAATAAATATTATTTGAATATCATAAAATCATTTCACTAAATGGATATTAAAATGTTTTTGTCAAATAACTTTGTTAAACTTAGGATTTAAGGCCTTGTTCATATGACAGAGTAGACATACCTAATTAATGATCCATCACGTTTTTGGTGTTAAAAACAGTTTGAGAAACTCCAGACTACCTTGAGGACTTGAACTTAATTTTTGGCAGCGATGCACTCGATTTGCTAACATGCTAATTTGTGATGGGACACACATCGTTTGTTCGTTATCAGTATTAATTGGCCGTAATTTCAGGCAATAAATGCAACAGTCCACTTCAAAGCCCTGAACTTTGAATAATTAAATAAAAAACCGACTCAGGCATTGCAAATTACAAAGGCATTTCTGTTCCGCCTCAGCTTGAATTTTGCTTGCCTTTTATTTTATATACTTATTTATGTTATTGTTTTTTTACGGTTTGTTTTGGAGTTTTTTTTTTTTTGTTGGTCGAAAGTTGAATCATCCGTTGGCTGTAAGATTTATGAGTGTTGGCATTAGCTCCGGACGATCAAACCCCCCCCCTCCCTCCCACTTCACCCCTTTTGGGGCCTAATTTATTGAAACAAGATGAGCTCGTGTTTTCGGGCAGTGGGCGGGAAGGGGTTTGACCTTGACTTTCCCACCGCCAATCGCTGTTGTTGCCAGCTTCCCATTGTAAGCGATTTTTAATTCAATACAAAAGTAAACAATGAGGCGCAAAAAAATTCAATTCAGAACCAACAATATAAGGGAAGGGGGGAGAAGGTGGTTTGGTTGCATGGGATGGGATCGAAATAATAATAAAAATAATAATAATTGTCTATACTCTCGCATGTATGTAGGTTTATGGCACTCAACCAGTCGATTTATATTTCTATTAGGAAGCGGAACTGACAGTTAAAAAAAACGTCACAAAACATCATAGGCAACAACAAAGAAATCGCTAAAGTGATAGACGGAAATTAAACGAAACATATAATGTTATGTTTGTGGTTAATAAGGTACACAATTATTATTAAAAATGCAATTAAGTGTAGTTGAAGATGGTGCCATAAAATAATGGGAACTAATCAGGGGGTTCTTATTGTACTAATTATAAGCTCATTTTTGAACAATTGGTCAAGTAATTCCTCTGTAATTAAAAAAATGAGCGAACTCTGCTAAAACCTCTCTAAGAAAATGTATTTTTAATTTATTTATTTATAAAAATGACAAACAAATTTTGAACAATTATTTAAGTAATTTCTTTGTAACTTCGTTAAAAGTGATTCCCCTTGATAATTGAAAACCTTGGTTCTATAATTTGTGAAATTTCGTAAGTTCATAAATCGTTTTTTTTTTGCTCTGCTAAGCGATTTCCCGTTGTCAGTTTATGCCCCTCCCCCTCTCTCCAGTTTCTCTCTCTATTCTCCGATTCTCTAGCTTCGAGAACTGCGCAAACTTTAATTGAATTTGCAATCAAGCATGAAGTACACACACATATACTCGCAGGTTTTATCATTCACAATGCTTGGAGAATCGTCCGCTGGCCAAAGCTACTAGACCCTGCCCTTCCCCTTCCCATATCCCCCTCACCACCATGCCCATGCCCACTTTACCGCCCCCTTTTGAAAGCCCGCATGGGGACAACTGGCAGCCTCCATTGTTGTTGGCTGTTTGGTTGTTTGTTTACTTAAGCGGTTTCTCATCATTAAAGCAAATTAGCCGTTAGGCACTTACAGGTAGTTGATTTCGATTCGGTTAGGGATTCTTTATCCCCCTAAAACCCCCAACTTGTCTCCCACCATGTCCGTTAAACCCCCATCCCTGAAACTATAGAACTTTTCGGATTTTCTCAACGGGAACTTTTGGTCTGGGCGGCATTCTTCCAAGTGAAATCTAATTAAATTCATTGCAGTGTATTGTTAAATTTTCACGTTCGCACATTCGAACGGAATTTAATTATATTTTGTGTAAATATGCAAACTCAGTATACGATAAGCTACGAAATTAAAATGGAAAACAATAGAGCATATAAGAGATAAAACAAGTGGTTTATTTTGGACTTATGACAATAATAATTAAACGTAAATTCATCTTTGCATAGGTGAGAAATTCATTAGGCGAGTGCTAAATAAATGAGTCATACGAGATGGTTGGAATTGTTGGGGAGTGGGCAATTTAAGATATCAATTCATGGGAACGGATTTGTAATCAGATATTATAGGGTTGGTCGACTCACTCCTCAGCGATTTCCTTTCAATGGCTTGAAGATAGTACAAATCTATAGAAAATGAAAGTAGCTTTGTTTATATACAGCAACAAGTAAGAAACTATTAACGATACAGTTTTAAAGGCGTTTTTCTAAAGTGCACCTTCTCGAGTTAATAATACATATGAATCCCAATTAGCCTTGACATAAGTGGCTAAACGGGTAGAAAAGTAAGTATTATGCAAGCCCTTCACATTGCTCGAATGATGCATCACAAGCCATTTAAAGATAGCTAAAATAATAAAAATTATAAACTTATTACACAAATAATTTACTGCCAGACAGCAAAGCCAACAAACACACAGCGATGATGATAATTTCGCTGCTTGTTATAAAAGTGACTAAAAGTTAAAGGCTACGTAATAAATTAAGCACAGGCTGACGACATTTGCCAGTTGCGAACAAAGATTTGTACTTAGGTAATAAAACATATAGAAAACTGAAAAAACAAGAGCACGAAGAACTTTCACTATCTGCGGATCGTGAACGACGATTTATGAAAAATAACGAATCCATTTCAATGTTAAGCCATATAGACTTCAAGGAGGGACACCTTTAATTGATTTTCTTTCGTTTTTTTTTTACCGCACTGCCATTATCTCAACAACTTAAGACACATTTTAATTTTTGTGTTTGACTTTATCAAATATTGTGCTTCTTTCATGGATTCGCGACGACAATCTTATCGCAACTTGATTTTAATTAAGGAATTTCTGGCCAAGAGCAATGCTGTCCACTTCTGCTGATATGAATGGGTAATTTTGTGAGGCCTTTTTTTTTTGGGAGATGGCGACCAAGTGATTAGAGAGCCCAATCGTTTTAGGGTTCGCTTAGCACCTTGCTTTGGAATCTGATGTGATGACAGTTTCACAGCCACCCATGAATCACTTGCACAGATCTCCATAAAAATTCATTAGCAGCCTAGCCTCTCACAAAAGACGTGAGATTTTAGATTTCAAATACCAGATTCTATATGCGAGAAGATGCGTCTTTGAGTGACTGTCGGTTGTTTTCGCCACGGGCGTCTGAGAATGGTTAGCAAATACCTCGAGTACAGCTGGGAAACTCTGCAAAACTGGTTATGATTATTTATTCTTTGCATACCCCTGGCTAAGGCTTAAAGTATGGAGGGAGTATTAGACGAAATCGGAGGGTTGTCACAAATTCCAGTGATTAGGAAA